AGAACGACCTTGTTCTTCTTATTTTTCTATTTCCAGTAACCTGGTCGGAGCTACAGGTATGTATATGCATTGAATAGACAGAGAATGGCTGGTCACAGTGGCTTTTATCTCCTTTTGAAATGTGCGATTCCAAAAAAGTTATGACACTCTGAAGTGAGTATCCGCGAAACCTACATCAATTTCCAGACTACCTAATACATCATATAAAGTTGCATAAAAAGTGCCTTAGGCCCTTAGTAAAGCTTGGTCAAATCAGCTGACCTAAGGCGTACCAAGCAAAGTAAACCTAAAGCGCCTCATTTCGGTATCCAACGAGTAGCGATCCGGATGCTGATCGCTTTGTAGACGTTGTAAAGGTGCGCGTTTTTGAAGTAAAAACGCAATACAATTTGCGCACAAGTAATCAAATGGGTATATGATTGCAATAGTTGGCCGTGGTTCGCGGACCTAGCGGGACGATTTTCGCTGTGTCGCGGCGCAGCCTTTCACAGCGCGGACATTATCGATACAATGGCGTTCGCTATCAAAATGAAATCATAACATTCAAGCACAAGTTTTAACTGAAAATGAATATTTTGAGACAAAAATCAGAAGAGAAAAAATAAACTTTCAAGCTATGAACATTCTTATAATTAAAGCCAAACTTTATCGGTGCTTTCCATCCGTAAGCTCGCGAAACTGAGAACTATGCGCGTTCTCATGCCGCAGCATTACGTCAAGTGATTTTATCAGTTACTCACGAGAAACTTACGGGATTTTACTCTGAATTTCACTGTTTGCGCACTAAATTCTTAACACGTTTCGGACCGGTGCTGCACTTTGCCGCACACTGCTTCAGAGGATATTTTTGACATTCATAGGGGGGTTTCGTTTAGTCCAAGGTTATCAAGTCAAAGGCCTAAGCTCCTGCTTTTCGGATGACTTCAAAGAGCTGTGCCATCGATAATTTTTTGGGAGATATGAAAACAAATCGAACATCAGTTGCAGCGAAGTGCGGCAACGCGAACGGCGCATGCAACGTCGCAACTTTTCTTTGCTTCGATTTCCGAGAGGAAGACCGTAGTTTCAATGATGATGTGTATCGTGCACAACATAGATACTTTTGGATACTATTAGAAATTGAGTTGTTGTTCCTATCTTTTAGGAAAACACAAAAGTCCTTCTAAAGCGACAAAATTCAGACACTTCGAATTCACTCAGAACTTTGGGTAGCTTATCTGACATGCTGATTACAGATGTAGCACACAGTCTAGAAACAAGGCCCCTTTGTCGGCTAACGGCTGGTACACTCTTTTTCGCCGCGCGCGATTTCGCGGTCCGAAATGTGTTAAGATCAACTCGAAACGTACGTTGGCCCTACAGAAGTTAGTTGAGATTAGCGCTAAACGGACTCTACCTGCCAAGTCACCTCGCATGTGAAGGTGACGACTCGTAACTCTTCCTCATTAACCTCATTTGGAGCTTTGGTTCAAGACATATGAACTACGAACTTTACTACAGACCTTAGTGTCATGGTAAGTACGATAGAAGTTTTGCACAAACGTCTTCACATGAATGGTGCCCCAAACAGATCCGATAAATTGAACTTCTTCATTGATTATCGTAGAAGTAGTTGTCTCGGTCCGCGTATAAATTCTTTCAGGAACGTATTTGAGTTATTGACATTCTTTGGCAGTCATTTCTGGCATCCGTAGTGAGCAAGGCGTCTGTCATTTACGAAAAGACATCCTTATCTTGTGAGTTATGGTGGCCACATATCTTCTTTTCTCCCTTTCTCTTGCATCGGAATGCCTGTTATCAATTTAGCTTGTGTAATGACTCATACTTCTGAGAATACTTTGCTCGGACAAAGCGAGAAACAGTAAAGTTCTTTGCCACATCAGCAGCTCAGCTATATTCTAGTGCTACTAATAATAAGACCCGCGAAATGGCTCAAACTAAAGAAAAGAAGATTGCAAGAAAATACATAATCAGCGCTTTTTATAAAGTAATTCCACATTCGTATCTATCAGTCTTCACAAGTGGTCGTTTTGTGATAGCCTTGAACATAAGTGTTTATCAGAAAATCATATTGCATGGCCTTAATCAGTTTCCCGACCATATTGCTTCATTTTTCGAAATACAAGAAAAAACCTATGACTAAACACAAAAAACTATGACTAAACTTATGAGTGCAGGCGTTTCTCGGTCAAAAAAATCGACATCTTTTAACAATAGCCCAAAGTGATTGAAAAGGTAAAATTCGACTGAGAAAGGATCGTAGTCGTATCGATCATGAGAAACAGCCTGAAAGTCTCATTTCAATGCATTCCTTACTTGCTAAAAGGATTTTTGGAAGAAATTTAGAGCGTCCGAAAGTATGAACTCATTAGGGTCTGGATGTATAAACTTGCGAAGATCAACTGAGAGCGCATAGTTGGAGTAGAGTCAGATTTCACCAATTAAAGGCGAGTTAACGCAAACAAGTTTTCGATTTACGATTTCCAGCATAGGTTATCAACACGTAAGTTCAGTGCGCATAAGGACAAATTTGATTCGATGTGCAGATCCCTCAACTGGGGGTCCAACCACAATCATTCAAATTTAGGCGGCTTTTAGCCCGCCAGATCTGTTGCAGATTAGAGCTGAGAAATTGGCTTTTATTCACAATCATAAGATCATTGATTTGTTTGCCTTCAAATTTGCAATCCATGTCCTTCTTAGGAAAAATAATTAAAAGCATTATTTTTCAAAGAAAGCGGCTAAAAGAAGTCAAGCATACGCCGTTTTTCTCAAATTTTTGAACGAAATATGGTTAGGTTGAGCGCAGGATCAAGCGTCGTACAGAGGGAGGAGTGTTGCATTCAAAAGGCGAATTTTGTAAAATGAAATGAACTACGTCTGAACAAGACAAAGAATGAATACGCTAGATCAGTAAATGTCAATCTTTCACAAAAAATCATAGGTTTACTAGGACGGGAGTGAATAGGTTTTGAACAGCATACCAAAAGCTATAATATAAGTTTCAGTCTGCCTGTCACAACTTTCGAAACTCCCTAGCATCTGAGAAGTTTCATCAAACATGATTAACTTAGTTTCAAAGACGGAGAAAAACAGCCTTTCCATACTTGCAACAAAGCAATAACATCTTCTCAAATATGCTAGGATTTCAATATTTCATATTGTCGAACCCTTTTGAATGCAGTTGAACCGCATCCAGTTAGACGTAAGCCGTCAAACTCTTATCAGTCTCGAGATTCGATATGCTTATAACACTGGCATACCTAGGATTTCCGTTCGTGGGGAGGGGTGGGGGGGGGGGATGACAAAAATTTCTCTGGAATGGAAGTGTGTAGCGTGAGCACGCATTCCGAAATTTTTTTTGGGATTTCCAAGGATTTTGCGAGCCCATAGCCCCGGCGGCATTACGTTCTCGATAAATATTTGTTTACAAGGCTAACTTGAATTTTTAACAATTTTAAAAATTTATTATATTTATTTACAAGTATGCACAAGCCAATCGTACAATTCTATAACTATATGAGTAGCCTTAAAAAATCATTCTTTCTCGGAGAGGGAAGCCTTCCCTTGCTACACCACTGAATCATAACTACAATGAAACCCGGACAGCAGATACGGAATTCTGGATATGTATAGCTTGATAAAGCGTACGCATTGATATGCATTTTGTTCCAGTCGCGTCTGCGAAATGGGATGCTTCCAAGTCAGTAGAAATACTAGCCAATAAAGATAGTTTCTAGAAGAACTCATGACTTTTAAAAAATTAGTGCAAGACGTATTAGGTTGGTTTGTTTGTCAGTTTGTCCAAAGTTTCAAACAAAAGTTTTGTCATTTTTTCAATCCATAGACGAACACGTTAGAATGAAGATGAACAAACACTTCAAAATGTATCCGATAAAGGATTTTTCCTTTTTCCAGTTTCTGAATTCCCGCTGTGTTTCGTTGCGAGAGTGACGAGATATTTGCTGAAAGTTAAAACCACTCGTTTTTACCATGTCCAGCTTTCGCTAATTTTAAATTTTTGCATGAGACTTTCGGAAGAGCTTTATTAACCAGCAGGTAGGCAGTAGCCCTACGGCTGTCTTTCAGAATTTCTACGATTTATTTTTTGAAGTGACTAAATTTGACATTTAGCCTATTTTAACCTCGTAGAACATGAAACGTCAAACACTTCAGTCACCATTCGATGCAACTTTTTTCCTCGTTGTTCTAACATCTGTCTTTTTTCGTCGAAAAAGGCGAAATTTGTGGGGAGAATTTTAGTATTTCTCAATTTCAAGAGTGCGCATTGAAGTAATCTATGTTTCAAAATCTATAATTTGAAGCGAAAATTGCTCATTTACTTTGTAATAATAACGGTAGTAAAAAACTAATGTTGAAACCTCAGTATTCTGTAGGTTTTGCAGTGTTTGGGTGCAATGAGAGGTTACGCGATTTTCCAAAACACAATACTTCTAGAAAATATTTGGAAAATGTGAAAAAGCAGCTGAAAAAAGAAAAAATTGCATAAGTTGGCAGAAGGTTCGCCCTATCTGCTGGTCATTATGGCTCTTCCGAAACTCTCATACAAACATTTTGAGAATTAGTGAAAATTGGACATGATAAAAACGAATGGTTGCAATTTCCACCGAATATCTCATCACTCTCTCAACGAATCACAATGATATTTTGGCAGCCGGAAAAAGAAAGAAATTCTGCATCGGATACATTTTGAATTATTAGTTTATCTTCATTCTAGCGTGTTTGCCGATGGATTGAACAAATTGACAAAACTTTTGCACCGACCTAATATATCCCAGCATAGTAGAGATATTATACAATAATGAAAATTTGGTTTTTTTGTCATGTTTCTCACTCATTAATAGCATCATTAAAAGGGCGCATGGTGATGAAATATAAATAAAAATCATCAGTTGTACTTTTATTGAGTGAAGAAAAATCACACTGCTTGTACCTCAAATATATACAGATGAAAACAGCAGTATAAAGACGTAAGACACGAACGGCAAACCAAAAACTTTACAAGAACACGATGGCAACATGATAAAGGCATGCGTAACAATAAGGAAACATGAATTGATTCACCAAACTGATTGAATTTTCTTTGCTAATCTCTTACCCGTAAATACAGAGGCTTTGCGAAAGCTATTTGAAAACACGTTGAACAAAAAGGGATTAGCTGCACAATTCAAATAGAAGCAGCAACCTTAAAATGAAGTATAGATAACGACAGTGTAGTAAGTACTATTCTACCTGATATGCTGTGAAAGATATAGTGTACGGTTTTTATGCTTGGATTCTCCTCTCCTCCATGATATTTCAGTATAAGTGAAAGTAACCGCTGCATGTGAAATGGTAGCCAGAATACGAAAAAACAAACAGTTATGGATACTGCAAAGCAACATGATTTGAGTTGATGACGGAAGCAAATAATTTAGTTGCTTGGACTAATGCAAAGGTGTTGAAGAGCCTGCAATTAATGACTTTCTCGTCTCAGTGCATTAGCGGATCTCACTTTACCAAAGGCACCGCTTTCTCACTAATGAAATAAGGTAAGAGCCCCAGCAAAATTCTGCTATAATGAGCCACTCGAAATGATGTATGATATTAAATCGTAACAATAAGTACTGAAACATTTTTTCGTTTTATTTTGAAAAATTCTAGGAGCTTGGACAAAGTCTAGTATTTGGAATATGAGCAGTGGAAAAAGGAGTATCTACCTGGCATCATTTTCACCTTTACAGGTATGAGTTACAGTGGATATAAAGATTGTTTTGTCACGGCACTCAAATCTCCATTTTTTGCTTTTGAAAATTCTTTCATTCTCATTTTTTATGCCTTCAGATTTTTGTTGGATTCTTAGGGACATTAGTACTAATAGGAGGGAAGTTCAAAAGTTTAGACTGTTCAGTAATGCAAGTTGGAAATTTGCCAAAAATAATTCAGAAAAATCAAAATTACTAAAAACTGGGTTACCAAGTGTGGCATGTATATATCGAAAAGTTACAGCCTTCTATTCAATTTGGAGATGAGAAAAAAAAACTTTGGGAAAAGACACGAAGGTTTTTTCTTCAAGTTTAACAAAACTTATGATACAATCTAACATATTGTTAAGTCAAGGATGAATGCTAAAAAACTGCAAACTTTATCTGCGGAAGGCTTTCCTCGAAAATTTGCAAGTTCGACCATGTAAGCACATTACTCAAACACTTTCTCCGACGGCCCGCGCGCCTTCATTGGCCTACCATGCCAACGGCGCGCCTAGAATTGTGGGCGGCATCGATGCCGACGGGAGGGGCGCCATCTTGAGTGACCTGCGAGCGTCACATTAACAAACGTGTAAGGACACGTGCTCGACAAGACGCTTCCTTCCGCGTAATGCATCATTTTCCATTCATTGTTAATCGTGGAAGATTGGTATGTGTACAACATTGTTGATTAACTGCTAATGATTGTCTGTGAGTTTCTTTTGGTTTGTATCTATATTCAAGCGCGCCCCATGTCTCAGCTAAGGGAGCTCCGTTCCAAGCACAGGCAAAGATGAATAGACATTACATTTTTCCATGGTTTGTTTGCAGAGCTCTTGTAAGAATTTGATGTACGCGAACGAAGATTCAAACCAGTAGGGGAGTTCGAACTTGGCCAATCAGTTAAGTAGCTAAAATAGAGCTAGCAAGCATCCGAACAGAATGTGTATTATTTCAGATCAATTAGAGAACGACGACAGAACCAAAACGCTGGAAGAGCTCGAGAGGCAACGCCGCAATCAGCCGCAGCAATCATTCAGGTCTAATTTGTTCTGTAAGTCCAAAATTGAAAAAAAATCAAATAAAAGTTTCAGGCGATATACGCCTTTACCTGGTACGAATCAGGAACATGGATACCTAATAAGGTGAGATATTTTGCATGCTTAGGCGTACATTATCATTTGACCTGTCTTTCAGCGCCAAAGCATTGCGACCAGCTAGGCCATCTCATATCTACCATTTCAAACTGTCTTTCTTGCTCATTTCCTTCACACAAATATCAATTTTCGAAAAATATGAGTTTAGATTCATATCTGTTGATGATTTCTGTATCATCAACCATTGAACTCTATATTTTAGATAGCCTACGGATTCCCCGTAGGCTAAATTGTGAGCTACTCACTCTTGAGTATCTAATCACTCAAGAGTGAGTGGTACCCGTGCGCCAGGAGTGTAGCCAATCGGCGGCATCTCCTTTCAAGCACCAGCTCCTGTACATTGTACCCTTCACTCGGTTCAGCTCCGCCTTCCCTCGTATATAAGGAGCCTCCGAATGTAGCAAGGGTTGCTCCCCGGTTCACACCGGGACACTTCACACTTCTTTACGACTAATCTACGCCAGTGCGAATAAATCTATATTCCACAACCTCGCCTACCCCTAATCACTTGGTACCCACCAAATTGCTGCATCGGCCAGTGATTTTCCTTGCATTTCCTCGGCGAATCCTCCTAAGGAAACGAGAAATCAAGGCCTAAGACCCGCGTGGCAGGCTCTACCATGGCCAATATTCGACTCTCGTGATTGCTGGTCCACCATTCTCACGATCAGGAATCTTACTAAGTTGTCAGGTTCTATCCACAACTTAGTAGAGGTTTCTAGCTAACTGACTGGTTCACCACAGTTAGCGACAGACTCCTCGCACTCTCGGCTACTAATTAGCCAATATTCGAGTCAAGTGATTGTTGGTCCACCACTTTCACTAATACGAGTCTTGCTAAGCTATCAGGTCATATCCATAGTTCAGCAGAGGTTTACTAACTGACTGACTGGTTCACCATATTTAGTACAAGAACTCCTCGAAACTTTTGGCTTTCCTAAAGTCAAAAAAGGACTCTGTGATTGCTGGTTCACCACTTTCACAAACAAGAGTCATCTTGCGAAGCTATCAGGTCATATTTATAGCTTAGCAAAAGGGTTTTCCTAGCTGACTGACTGATTCACCACAGTTAGCAAAGAAACCTCAGCTTTCTAAGCTCATTCACGGTCGGCTCACCGATCTTGAGCTTTGGATCCTTACATTCACGGGACAGGTTCCAACCCTTACCGTCCAGTACAGCGTATAAGCCAACCAGGCGCGCTTGCTGACAGCTAGTATACGCTCGGCACCCACTTGCCAGCTCACTAGAAAGTTTCCTTGCAACTAGTAAGGACAGCTATCGTATCGAGGCCAGCCCTGCTGTCGCCCTCAAGCGAAAGCGATCAACAAAAGGAGGATACACACTTCCAGATTGGAACGCTTGGATTCACCACACCAGTGCACAACCCTACCCCGTGCAGCAAAACAGAAAATGGCAGCGCTCCAGATTTTCAAGTCAAAAATCAACAATGCCTGCGCGCTCGTGAAGTCATACGAGTCGGAAGTGAACAAAATAAACACACCATTCACTTTTTCGGTAGAAAGGACTGAATGCGAGACGTACATAAAAACCAAAATGAGAGAGATAACGCATCTGCTCAACTCTCTGCAAAATGCGGTTAAACTTCAAGACACACAAGTGAACGCCGCGATCGAATAAATTGGAGCACGAAATGAAGAAAAAGAGAGAGACAAGCTTATGACAGAACTCAGCAAACACTTGGAGTTGGAATCTCTTCATTTGGAAGTTATGGTCGTGCAGTGGCAGAACAAAGTTCAGTTCCGTCAAAACGAATTGAAGGATCAAGCTGCATTAATGCACACCAGGCTGCCAAGCACATCAAGTCATGCAACCAGCGACGAAGGTCAGACCTGTAACGGCAGCCTCCCAGAGCGCAACGAAAGGCAAATAAAAATCCGGAAGCCTCTGCTCGAAATCCCTACTTTCTCAGAGAACTTCAGAGAGTTCAGCAGCTTCTGGGCAGTGTTTGAATCTCTCATCCACGCCGACGAAGACCTATACGACACTGACAAGTTCCTCTTTCTGAAGCAAGCACTGAAGGGGAAAGCAGCAGCCACCTTGAGCTGCATACCCGTTGTTGGAGAGAAATATCAAAAAGCGAGAGAGATTTTGAAGAAACATTCAAATCGTTCTGCCAACATGGCTGACAAACTCATAAATGAGATCGAAAAGCTTCCGAGGGCGTCAGACAATCCGAAGAGCTGCCGGGACACCTTCGAAGCAATTAACTCAAGGATCATTCACCTGGAGCAAACGGGATTGAAGATGGACGCAGACAGAGTTTGGCGTCAAATAATCTTCTCCAAGTTTCCCGAATCCATTTGCACAACCGCACTCCAAAAGGAAGCCGTACAAGATGATTCATTCAAAGCTGCGACATCCTGAACATAATCGACAGCATCATTTCACTGCGAGAGACAATCTTGCTAACAACGGAAACTCTCTTTACAACCGACTACTACCCAAACAACCAAGAAAATGAAAGAACTACCAGATGCGAAAGAGAAGAATTTTCGAAACCAAAACGCTTGTGTTTATGTGGACAGCCACAGTCGCCTTACAAGTGCCAGAAGTACACCACACCAGAAGTTCGACGACGTGAAGCAACAAACCAAGGAGCGTGCTGGAGATGTTTTGCAAATAATCACAACTCGAACGCTTGCACGAATGTTGGAGTGTGCCCCAAATGCAAGGGATCACACCACGGATCTCTTTGCTTGTTAGAAGCAAGGCAACACAGACAATTCTCAGCTGATTCCCGAGATGCACTTGACACTCAGCAATATTCACCTGCTCCTTGGTCACCGTGTGACATCAAGGAGGATCGTCATGAGATGAGTAGTACGCACGTCTTACAAGGCTCACGACAAGAAGCCCACAATACAGAAGTGCTTCCAACTTGCACAGGATCAATGCATTTTTCAAATTGTTTTGGCACTCATATTCAACGAGGCAGAGTGGGATTACCAGCCAGTAACGATATTACTTGACTCCGGTGCACAACGAAGCTTCATCAAATCGTGACTCTGTGAAGAACTCAAGCTTCCAGTCCTTCGTACTACTTCGTTTACTACATCTGGAATGGGCGAACAACGAGAGCAATTTAACTCGTCTGAAGTGCAAATCACCTTAAAAAGTCTTTACAGCTCCGAGAAGCTCAAGAATTTGTCATTGCACACCAAGCAGAAGCTGACTACCGACATGCAGACAGCAAGTCTCACGGAAGCAGACTTGCGTTTTATCTCTAACAAGAAGCTGATTATCGCTCAAGATACGCTCTCCTCGAAAAGCGTCTCACCTGATCTGATCATAGGACAAGACCTCCTGAACCTTGTTACTCTCCACAATGACAAAGTGCATAAGCTTCCTTCGGGCCTCATTCTGACTTCAATCATCTTTGGACACGTTATATCAGGGACGCGCCACTACCACTACATCAAGTTTTGTTGGCACATTCGGCTGCATATCAACGCTAAAGGAAACACACAGGAACAACCGCCCAACATTTCCACAACACAAAGAGAGATTAAAGAAACTCAAATCGTACTCTCATCTCAACAGTACGAACACACGAACGGGCAACAAGCCATTATCGGCAAAGCAGGATGAAGGAAGAGTCCAAAGAAGAACGATTCCGTCGCGAACAGAACTACAACCATGCTATTCATCCAGCCGACAGTCCAGCTTCACAAGGCAAACAGTCACTGCCTCCATTCTCGGTGAAGCTCGAGCAGACAGACAACGTTGGTTGGCCACCATACGTTCCGCGACCAACTCCAATGTTCGTGCCCGATATCGGATAGAGTGGCTAACGCAGCGGTTCACAAATAATGAAGCCATGATAAGGATGACGAATACATCGGAGAGAAGACATCATGAGTACATACATCGCGCAAGCACGCCGTCTATCAAGGATATGGTCATCAATGGATCATCTACCATCGATTCAGTGTGGAAAAGGAGGAAATGGCGAGGACGACGAGCAGCGCTAAACCGCCCAACAGCTCCAGCGACCACTCCAGGATCTTTTCCCATTATCACTTTATCTAAATGATCGTACTCTTGTGTGTATGTTTAAGTTACTTGCAACTCCTCCTTCATAGCCCTTTTTTGTATGCATAGGTATTAACTTATTCGCTAGTTAACTTCACATGTATCTGCTACTCTAATTAGGATCTTACCAGATCTCACTTTCCTCTCGCTCGCCCGGAGTGTTGATGATTTCTGTATCATCAACCATTAGTGTTCAATGGGAATGGGAGCTCACAATTTAGCCTACGGAATCCCCGTAGGCTAAATTGTGAGCTACTCACTCTTGAGTATCTAATCACTCAAGAGTGAGTGGTACCCGTGCGCCAGGAGTGTAGCCAATCGGCGGCATCTCCTTTCAAGCACCAGCTCCTGTACATTGTACCCTTCACTCGGTTCAGCTCCGCCTTCCCTCGTATATAAGGCGCCTCCGAATGTATTAGGTGTTGCTCCCCGGTCCACACCGGGACACCTCACACTTCTTCGCGACTAATCTACGCCAGTGCGAATAAATCTATAAACAACCTCGTCTACCCCTAATCACTTGGTACCCACCAAATCATCTATTCATGTTTTTTTCACTTCGCCTTTTTCTTTGATTTTTCTCCTTCTTCTCTTTCATCCATCTTCTCCGTACAAATCATAGGCGTTATTATATTTGTTGTTTGTCGAGTTCTTAAGTACGAAATCATGTCGTTTTTTGAATATTTCACTTATAAATCTGTCACTATGATGCTTACTTACATGTTTGATCTATTCTAGCATAATGTGAATTTTATTATCGAAGCGTTATTCTAAGGCGTGTAACCCTTTTGAAGAAACGGGTGGGCGGCGCGCCTTCGTCGAGCGAGCCGCGTTCCTTCATCCTGCGAGCGGCAGGAGGCATTAGCGCTCGCAGGGTGAAGGCGCGTGCGCCGCCGGAGAAAGAGTCTAAGTTGATATACGAGTGCTGCAGCTGTGCTATCATTAAAGAATAATGCAGCAGGAGTGCGCTCATTTGTGGCGCAGCAGCACGTTCAAACTCTTTCACGAGCAGCATTTTAACAAGTCTACCGCTCGTTTCAGTATCTATTCCCAACTGGAAAACTCTTGCTTTACTAGTTTTGAATAGCAAGAATAAGAATACTCTTAATTTTTCACTTGTTTCTTCAAAGCTTCATTATATAATTGAGTATCGCAATGCCGTGGACGGATATTTTGCAATGAACGCGTCAAAGAAGGCCGCACATCTCTAATAATCGTTTAAAAGCGCGAATAGCTCGCCATGGATATTAGGTGCCAAATTTCTGTACTTTTACATTGTCGTGATCTGATAAATAACTTTACTGAAGATTTTCGGAAAAGTTATGAAAATCTTTTATTTTATAGTCCATTTAAAATATCAGAGCAGATTCGCACTATCGCATCAGACTTTCAAGACATTCAGGATGCGTTGTGGAAAAAGTTGCGGCTTGAAACATTGTCTGTGACTGGTTCTGTGAATTACGTTACACACACACACACACACACACACACACACACACACACACACACACACACACACACCTAGCGAGAGAGACCATGCTAATCACGACTAACATGACCGTTTCTGAAGATACCTATTATTTTAGTCTCAACGATCTCTGCAAAGTGAGTACGGGGTTGGGGTTAGCGTAACGGGAGAAAGGGTCGAGTATGTTGATCATGACAAGGGTGCATGGAGACAGGGAACACTCCATAAGATAGGCAGAGACGGAAAGGTATTGTGCAAAAGTGGGACGAAATGGTAAGTTTTACCATACTTGCTGACAAGAAATGAAGGTGGGTACAGCTAGTAGCGTATATGAATATGTATCGACACTAGTTCAAGCCCTTCTCTGACATAAGATGTATCCCCGTATTTGAATTAAGAGCTCGATGGAGTTGCAACCACACCACAAAACACTTCCATTTGTCCCAGAGCACGATCTCAAAATTAGCGCATTATTTAAAACAACGATAGTAACTTCTGAAATTGTTTCAAGTCAGGAACAGAACGAATGTCATTTATGGAGGCACTTTAGCGACCATCGTTCTCGTGGAATGTTTAGCTCAATTTCGAAACCTGTGCAATATAAGTTAATAGGTCTTGTAAAGATTTTTTGTCCCTTTTCGAGGTTCATTTTAGAAGCAATCTTTCTCTCAGTGTTTGACTGTACTTTAGAAACCTATTTTGAACGAACAGATTCGCAACAAACGTATACTAAAATCAGTGAGGTACTCAAGTATTAATGAAGATTGCATGCTTAAATGAAGCTAACTTGGTAGAATCTTGCATGTTTGAACCAAGAAGATATATGTACGAAGCACCTGATGTACGAAGCACTTATTTGATTGAGAATTAGGGATTTTGCTCAATTTTCATGCATGCAGAACTTGTTCTCCGATTCTGGATGCAAAATCGTGCACTTTTTGAGCCCAAAAAATGGTAAAGTCTGCGTAATAATTGACCCGCATTCATCCCATTTTCTGTGAGGTATGCACTGCTGTACACCTTAGCATCGCCGCAAATCAACCAACCTAGCATTTTGAATACATTTCTAGAAGCCTTTGTTTGTTCATTTTTACAATGTTCATTCTTGATCAAATCTGGAGAGGCTATTCTTTTGGCGATATCAGAATACATTCCAGCAACCAAAATCACTAAAATAGAAAGAATGAATAGCAAAGGTTTGGGTAGACCGTACTCACGTGGTATCAAGTAGAAGATGACAAAACCGACGCAGGTGCAGTGATATTGAAGGCCTTTGTTCGAATTATCCCATTCACAGAAGTCCGTGCCTCGGATGGTTTCGTTGTCATCTGAGATCTAAATTGTCCATGCAGTCCATGCACAATACAATTCTCAATGACTTTGCTATTGTGATTGCTCTACTGCAACATTCTTCCCTTGTATGCATATAAAACTCAAAATCTATGAGTAAACCCGTTTACTGTTTGTTACGGTCTTCTTTTTGAGCAAGTCATTTGGAACAAATCTTGCTATTCTTTGCGGCAACTTTCAGGACCTCCTAGCGACTTATTTTTATGTAAGCTTATACAAAAACAGAAGCTTTTCAGTCATACAAATTGATTTCCCGTTGTTCATGCAAATGCAGAAGGTAAAGCTATTTATATTCCGCTGTAAGGAGGATGCAGTGTTACGAAGCGAGACAGTCAGAAAAAATTACAACTTTACTACAAACGCCATCGCATTTTCAAGTAAACGTAGGTAAACTTCACATTTCTTGGACAAGCATTATGTACCCTCCTCCAAGACGATATGAACGCCGATTTGGGGTGATTGGAAAGGCCAGTAACATACGTAAAGACTTTAGTAGAGTTTGGTCTCGGAATAATTGTATACTAAGAGTGAAATTATCCTGTTTGATTCAATTGTTATAGATTTACAATTGATGCAACAAAGATCAGAAGAGTATGGTGGTCACCAGCTTGAGCATAGTAAGTTTGCATCATAGAATGATTGCTTCTGGATATAGCTGTTATTAGTCTCCAAAGTTAGTATCTCAAAAGAAACAAAATATTAATATTTGCAGTTACATTAACCTTGCCAAATTTAGAATATGAATAAATACATTTAATGTAACGTAAGTTCAAGTAACTCAGTCCGTTATCCTTAAACATCCACCTTAAAAAGATGATTGTACTTTTACTTGTACTCCTTCCTCCTCCGAGTACTTGGATGTAAGGGTTGGGCAAAATTCCAGGAACCGATTTGCAATATTATACAGGGTGTGCCACAAAAATGTGCACTTAAGTGTTTCGAGAAACTTCAGGTACCATTTTGTAGAGCGAGGTTCAACTTAGATTTACAGTGTAGAGCGAATCGCCGATCGCTCATGCTTGATGTAGAATTAAGGTAGAAACTTTGAAGAGGGTTTTGAGTCATGAAAGGCCATATTTTGTTCCAAAAAGGAACCGAAACAACTTGAAAACTCTCACACTGGGCTAAATGGAGTTGCTGATTCTAAATGTGAAGTTCGCAACTTTTGCAACTAATGCTTCATTAAAAATTTATGCAAGGTAAGCAGTAGCGGCCTTTTTTTCGATGTCCCTAAAAAGTGCAGTTACACCGTTGAGAAAGCTTCGCAACCTTGCAAAGAGTAGGGTATTGAACTCAGCATCCATGGAAACCCAATTTACACATTTTTTCACAATTATTTAAAATTTTTTGAAACCCCAGCTTTTTTAGTGACACCATATACTTGAAGTTCCTACGGTAATCCTACAGCAATGAAGAGCAGTAGATGAATCGCTCTATACTGTAAATCTAAGTTGAACCTCACTCTAAAAAATGGTACCTAAAGTTTCTCAAAACATTTAATTACAAGAGAGTTATTTACAATCAAACAGTGCGCACATTTTTTGGGGCACTACAAAACATTACGAAACTAATAAGGATGAATATAATCCTGCGATCATCCTCTACAAATCACATTTTAGGGAACCTTCAGACCGCGCTTTAAACGCCATTGTAGCCGGTAGCCGCTTTCGCACTGGATGCCGCTTTGCTGCCGGAGCGCAATGGGTCAAATTTTGCCCGTAGTTCGCATATTGAGGATATATTCGCACAACTCAAAACAATATTTTTCCTACTCTTTCAACTTGGACGAGTACTCTACTCTGCTGTACGAGAGTATTTTATAAATTGAAATTTCGTTTAACCACTTGGGATTTTTGAGGTGAACGTCCTTTGCAAAATGAAATTTGTCGCGTTTTCGTTCATCTGTCCTAGTATGCTGAGTGAACAGTGGAAGAGTTTTGAGACGGGAAGGAAATCAAAGCCTTGCGAAGAACATTGTTCACTTAGTATAGCAAAGTATTAGGTTGTCCGGAAATCAATGCCCGTTTTGAATTTCAACCTCAATAAGTCATACACTTCTTTCTTCTAAATAGGTTGCAAATTACCATTTGATAGAGCAAAGCAAGCTCTACAAGATGGCCATCTTGCTTTTGCAACAGCTCTCATCCATCTCGAGTTTCAAGGCAAAAAGTAAAAAGACTCAGCAGCCCAAAAAATCGAAAAAAATCGCAACTCAGTTCATAAAAATCCTACAAAAATTCTAACTTGCTCACGTAAACACTATCCATATAAGACATCTATATACGCCTTTGCCGTATTTTTTCCTCTGTTAGAGATCAAGAAAACGGAAATTTTCGTGCATTTGCCAAAGTGATGCTGTGCCAACCCCACATAGGTAGTTGTATAGCACAAGCCTGTAGAAGTACAGACCTAAATTTCCAGCTCTCTACAAACTTTAGTTCTCGAGAAATACCGAACATAGCCTTCCCTAGTTAAGTGCTCCACGCTAAAATTCAAATTTTTCGAGAACTAAAGCTTGTAGAGAGCTGAAAATTTAGGTATGTACTTCTACAGGCTTGTGCCATACAACTACCTATGTGGGTTGGCACAGCATCACTTTGGCAAATGCACGAAAATTTCCGTTTTCTTGATCTCTAACAGAGGAAAAAATACGGCAAAGGCGTATATAGATGTCTTATGTGGATAGTGTTTACGTGAGCAAGTTAGAATTTTTGTAAGATTTTTATGAACTTTGCGATTTTTTTTCGATTTTTCGGGCTGCTGAGTCTTTTTACTTTTTGCCTTGATACTCGAGGTGGATGAGAGCTGTTGCAAAAGCAAGATGGCCATCTTGTAAAGCTTGCTTTGCTCTATCGAATGGTACTTTGCAACCTATTTAGAAGAAAGAAGTGTATGACTTATTGAGGTTGAAATTCAAAACGGGCATTAATTTCCGGACAACCTAATAGAACAAAAGTGAAAATAGCACATCAAAGTCTTGTTCCACGACGACATCGCGCCTACAAAAGGATGAAACAGCTTTAACAGCAGAAAAAGGACGAACATCGTCTCGAAACGCTCTCCCAGCATAACACTACCATCAAAATGAAATCTATAATAGATAGTAACACAGTTCTCAAACTACGGCTTCTCAAAAGAAACTTTGTTTGCTAACGGAATCGGTCAAGCAGCACAAAAGTATTTTCTGAAAATAGAAACTAAGTAAGAAATCCCCTTGACACTAGTTTGCTCACTGCATAAGCAAACAGCTCAGCAGCGGAAAATGGATAAAAGTATAACCTCCTTTACAGCGATTCGAACTCAACGCTTTCCCAGCATTGAAGGACAACACGAAATTCAAATCAATAAACAACATTTGCAGCAGAGTGTTTTCTGCAACATAGAAGAAAAACTTTGAAACCAAAGAACAGCGACAGAGATTCAAAAAACACTGCAAATAACCATTATTATTAGTTTCTTAAACAAGTGCCTCTACAAAGCAAAAAAATCAATTTAGTACTTACAAACTATTTTGTAGCTAAAGATCTTATGAATATTCTACAACACTGTGATGCATACAATGCAGGGAGACTTTAATCACCAAAATCTAATGTATTTCCAAATTCCATAAAAATCCTATCAAATTTAGATTTATAATCGGAGCCTCGAGCAATTAAGAGTTGATCGAATTTTTATTAATAGAACTCATTTCAGAAACTATGCTAGTGCTGTTTATCTCAAAAAAAGGTGCCTAGAGACGTACTGGTCTCCATTAATGATATAAATATTTCCGAATTACAGATCACATATGGTAAACATCTTAAGCTTTATTTAGCAGATTTTATCAATATGTATACCAACATACCCCATAATTGTTATAAGAATTCAACAGATATTCTTGAAATTTGTATGAAAAACAGCAGTAACAAGTATATCACTCGTACTAACAGTAAAGTCTACTACTGTGATACCCCAGCTGAAAAACAAAATCAAAGGATCTACAGAATTGAGGACCTAGTATACATTAAGCAGTATCTCATGAAAATAGTTATAGTAACATCGGTAAACACGTTTTTAAACAGAAAATGGGTTATCGCAAGGGTTTAACGCTAGCCCTGTAATAGCAGACCTCACTTTGACATATTTAGAATATAAATACGCTGTCAGTCACCCCAAAAAAATATTCTATTCAAGCCTTTTAGATACATGGATGACCTATTGGTTATTCATAATCAAGAAAAGTCAAGAATACTCAGTATGTTAAAGGACACATATAATGATATTCTGGAACTTGAGAGTACTCATCCTACAGATTTTCAGTGTAATTTTCTTGACCTTTATATTGAAATCATTAATGATAATATGATGACGCAACAAATTATAAAACATATTATTTTCAATTCAATGCGTTAGCCACGCACTCAGAAAATTTTTTGGAATGCGCTCCAAAATTTTTGCGGTTTCTAATTCCGAAAAAATTTTTATAGGCCAAGTTGAATTTTTAAGAATTTGAAAAATTATTTCATTTGAAAGTATGAACAAGTTACTTGCACTTTGATGTGAGTAACTTTCCAAAAATTTCGCAACCCATTTTCGGGGGGGGGGGGGGAGGGGAAGGGATGGGGCCCTTCGGTACGCCACTGGCTTTCATATATGGTGAAATTCTGAGAATTTACAAAACTTGTACATTTTCTAAAAGTTTTATGGAAAGATTGTTGATTCTCACAATCAGCTGTTGGTACTAGAATATTCGCCTGACATAATATAGTCGTCCTCATCCCACTAGTCGGGCAGTGGACGGACTTGAATTTAAAGAAGAGCAGGCCAGTGGTGGCAGAGCGCGACACCTGAACCCTCAGTTCAGGCTTTGCGCATGTTTCTTCACGGTTTTTTCACCGTAGTCGTTTGTTAGTCTTCGTGCTATAAGTATGTTCGTTTTCAAAATACTATTTTATTTGTCGAGCATTGTTTTGTACTGTCATGCTCGTTACTTCAAGTCTGAATGCAATTACAGGAATAATACAGACGGGAAACCTCTGCTGTAAATGTTTTTCTTTTGTAAGTAACACGTGCAGAGGTGTTTAGTGATCAATGTCAAAATTTGTATCTGCATCGTTTCTAGAAGCTAAATAAAATCACCCAAAAGAAAACCGAGCACAACTGCGCGAAACACACTCAACAATAACAAAACGTGAATTTGACGAAAAACATTGGCATAGTACACAAGTTAAAGCATTGGTGTAAAAAACCGAGAAGAAAAATCGTAGCTTTGAACTAAGGGTTTGAGTGCCGCGCTCTGCCGCGAACAACCTGCTCCAGTTTAAATTCGAATTCGTCCACTGAACCGATTAGTGGGGTGAGGACGACTATAGCTAATGCGCGAATCCAATGTTCAACCTTTAACAAAAGTATTCCTTCTGAATATCAAAATACATCCTTTTAAAACACCAAAAAGTTTATTAGATTCTTGTTTTAAAAGCTTCAACTTGATCTCCCAAGTTCTAATCTCCAATTTTCTTTGATCTTTTCGCTCTACGCTTAGCATATAAATAAAGTTCCTCTAGCTCATTTCTATGTATTATTGCTATCACCACTCTTCCCTACTGATGAGCCTCGGGGGTAGTCTACATTGTACCCTAACCTGTAAAGTAGAGGCGAAAAAGGCTGTATAGTACTCAAGCACTGTATACTCATTTGCCCGTCACCTCGTAGAAGTTGCGTTTGCCAAAAACTACTCTTTCACAAATTCAAGATAATTTAAAATTTGCGATTATTACCTGCGTGCCAGTGGCCATCTCCCTTTAAAGCAAATCTAAAAGCTATACCAGGCATTACATAGTCTTCTATATAAGCATCTAATCGAATGTGGTCGATGAAGCAAATTCAGTACTTTTTTCAAGATTTGATTTTTCGCTTCGTTCGCGCAATCGCATCCGCATTTCCAGTGTACAAGTACTCTTCCGTCACTCAAAACTTAACACTCAGAACAAAAAAAATCAAACATTGCAAAAAAATTTCCGTAATAAAATGTAGCCAAAACTTTGCTTTTTCATACTGCATTTCCCCTAGTGAAAGAAGCAGTTAGGGTGAAGGCGTGGGACGAATTTCATTACGACTGCTTACGTGCTACGACAGGTGTGCTTGCCAAGAAGTCGAAGGGCTCTTTAAACCAAAAGAGGCAATCTCGTATTTGAAAGCTGCGCTGTATTTATGAAGGTTCAAATTTGTCCACCGAAATTTATACTATAGCTACTTTATTTCAAATTTTGTCTGAAAAATTACTAGGCTGCCAGAAATTCGCCGCCCGTATAATCTGACGCATAGTCTACTGCAACTAGTCCGACTTAGGTAAAACGCGATCGCAGACGGGAAGCTGTACAGTGACGTACCGCTTAGCAAGGTTTACAGTAGTTCTGCGACCATCATGATTAGTAGTGATTGTAAGCAATTATATTAATCATCTTCAGTTCAATGGTCCGTTTGCGAAATGCGGCTGTTGCAGAAATGTCTGCGAGGATAATTACATCTTTGATAAGTCTGCGCGCCACTTGGATCTTTGTCGAAGCACATTATATAAAACATTGCATGTACCAAATTGTTATGTGCGCGCGTCCATGTCCTTCGGCATGACCGAGAAGAAACGATCATTGTTATAGATTGGCTGCCTCAGCAAACAAGGTCTCTTTCTAAACCCGCATGTGGGCGATAAACAATCAGGGATAGTTACGATTTCTAGGAGAAGGACTGAAGAAAAGAAAGCTTTCCTCTAAGAATCAGTTATCCGTCGACTTAATGCAAATTGAGGAATATAAACGTACACAACTGGTCCAATTCTGGCCGACTCCCCAATCAGGCAGAGAAATACGTTGCACTTCGGAGGTGAACAAAACTGGAAGGGAGATGACTATAGACGCTAACCACAGAAGGGCAACGGTCAGTATTGTTCTTTTAACATTCCGATTTGAATGTTGACGAAATGGATGCCTGAACACATCAAATTTGATTTGTGCTAAGCTTTTTGTATGTAAATGCTCAACTGCATAATAATGCTTTGATCACTACTCAAAGACAGCCGCTCGGCAGATATTCGACATGAAGTTTCCTTGCTTACTTGGGGTGATTCGACCCGCTGATTTCGAAAATACACTTTGAAGGGCACGAAAATGGCAAAAACCGCCGTTTTTTAGGGTGTCTTTTTTAAAATTTGGACGAGTAGAGCACGTCCCGCCATGTTTAGAGAGTCAGAATCGTTGTGCGGGACCCTCGCATTATAACATTGCGGCATGCCTTTTTTGAAGGGTCAGGTGAATGGCAAGTTCGTCCGCGCGTATTAAATGGCTTCTGCGTAACGGAATTTTCTAGGCAAGGGCAGCATGCTGTGCGCTTGGACAAGCTCTGTTCTCATGTTTGGGCTGCAAGCAACTTTCTATGTCAAAATTTCGGGATGTTCGTTTTTGGCGGCCGGCCGCTGCCTTTAATCTACAGTGTCGCCTTTGTAAAAAAAATACTGCTACATTGCAAAAAAAGAAGCAATGCGAACCGGGTCTTGTGCTGCAGCAATTAATTCCTGCTGCATACTCATCTATACATATATAAAACTCAAAGTTTGTCTGTAAGTTGCTAAAGATGTTTGTGTTTTATAGAAATCTTCTGAGTGGACCGATTGAGCTGAATTTTGCTCCCATATGAATAAGCCACGGCGCGGAACATAGGCTACTTTTCTCGACAATTCGTTGGGTCCTTCTATCGACTTATTGATTTGTTTACGTACATGCGAAAAATTAACCTATCACACCATTTCATAACTTGCTCTACAGTGAGCGTACAGCTCATTCTTTATCTTGGCAAAAGAAGCGTGAAAAAAACCCAAGGTAGGTTCTTGTTTTAATTCAAAAAGAAGTACAGCCTGTTCTAGACGAAAGGGGTTTCCTTACGCGTGAGACGGGGATGGATACGATGCGTGTTTAACTGACAACTGAGATCTTGAGTCAAGCTAGAGTTTGATTTAGCTGCTTAGCTCACATGGTTCGATCGTCTCTGTTTCTGGACCACAGGTTCAAAGCGCTCGGAAACGGTCGGTGTTGACGGTAATCATCATGAATGTTGCCATTCTTACCAGCTTTTCAGTGCTTTTGACGCTGCATGATGAATTGATCATCCTGTGTTCATTTTTCCTACACAGTCATCCCTGTGATTGTGTTTTCTTTCTTTCATGTTTCTCGATGTAAAAGAGAAGTGGTTTTCGACCACAAAAGAGAAGTAGTTACCGACCAATGTTATGATTGACGGGAAGGTGAGAATCAAATTCTGATCATTTCATAATGCATAGGCAGTTACACCGGTGGACCCCGTTAAGATTAGTAATATATGGACCCTTAAACAAGCACTGCATCAATTGCGAGGACCAGCATTTGCATTTTTTTGTTACAGGATTTTGAATTGCAAATAAACTAAATGATAGGTTATGGTCTTGCATGTCACACATATCTGCAAAAATGGTGAATGATATTATTCCGGGCAAGGCCGGGTACATCAGCTAGTTTTCAATAAACTTTAGTTTAATTTTAAAAATGTTTGTTTTCGAGCTGAGTATGAGTTCCCGCCTCCATGTACGAACTGATCACAGGGCTCGGCACAAGCTGGAACCAGGAAAAATCTCAAAACGCAGTCCTCTTTGATCTTGAAAATTTCGTACGAAGTCCCCCTTTGATCTTAAACCCTAAACGTAAAAACTCTCAAAAACGAAACGATGACTAAAAAAATTTGCAATTTTTATGTCCTTTCGGCTACAAAAACGTACTCCCTTTGCTTTTTGTCTTAAACGAGATCCAGCCTGACGCGGTGCTAGCTGTGCTGTGCCTTGACTGACAATAAAATCGGTCCCATTTCTGAGAAAAGTGACGCGATATTGCATTCTAGCTAATAAATCTAAGCAAGCTACTTGCTAAACACCTGAGCAGCTGGACAATAAAATTGGCAAGGCAAAACATCTTAAATGGGTTACTTTCTATCCCCATATCGTTATTGGAAATTATTTAGTCGCTTGCATGTGAACTGCAGCAACATTTCGGACCCTTACCGCAAAGCCAACCATCTCTCCACTGTAACAGCACAAATGATAAGTATGGAAGCGCAACTGTTGAAACGTATCAGATATGCATGTCCATTGCATGTCCAATCTTCAAGTTTATAATTATAAAAATCCACCATAGTGAGATCCAATGGAAGACCTTAATACACTCCAGATTTTTCTAAAAGGTACGATAAAAGAATGTTTTACCTGTGATTAAGAGAAGTAAATCAGAAACAGCAAGACTGGCGAGGTAAAAGTTGGTCTGCGTATGCATGTACTCGTTGCTGCAGATGACCGCGCAGACGCAGACGTTCCCGATAACGCCGACAACGAAAATTACGACGTATGCGATGATGATAATCGATGCGACTTCCTCCTGATCATTACAGATGCTGAGCAAATGTTACCCCACCTAAGTTGTGTAATCTTTGTCAGCATGGGTTAAAGGCAGTGTCCCGGCAGATTTGACATTTTCACCTTTTTGCGTATTTTGAGCCTTTTTGTCCCGTAGAACCGAAAAGCTTTGAAACGTGTGAAAAGAAAAGACCTTCTTCGGGGCGCTTGCCCAATTTCCAAAAGGCAGCTTGGACGAGAATTTCAATGGAAAGTTGGAAAGCCTTGGCACGATGACCCTGCTGGCTGTAATTTTTGCTTTGGATAGCATGCACAATGCGAAAGAGCCAGTCGTGGGGTCCCGCGCCGAACGGTAAACGAAGTCGCCCGAGCGCGCGTCGATTGGGATTGCGCGCCGGCTCGATAGCTATTTTCTTGGCCCAGGGGAAACATTAACTAGCCGGACTACGCCTGATAATCAATGCGAATTCAGTGGGATGAACGGGAGCCCCACCAAAGCGATTTTCCGAAAAAAACACTGTCTTTAAAGGCAGTGTCCGGGCAAAAACTCGATTCTTAGAAAATCTACTTACCGGGGGTCATCTGCAACGCTGAATCAGAAAATCCACATTAGAAGGCGCGAAAAAGGCAAGAACGTGCGTTTTTCAAGCCTACAGTTTGAAATTCGACGGTCCCCGCCAAGGCTGAGACGCAGAGTCAGTGCGTTACCCTATGACTTTGAATGTGGTGGCATGCGCACTCTGCTGCATAGCAGGACTTCAAACAGGTCGGTCAACTTTCCGGCCGTTTTTCTTGCTTTAGGTAGAACGTTATGACCTCGTACTTGCGCGATGCCGTGTCTGAGGGGAGCCACTTTCGCTGGCATGGAAATCAAACCCCCATCTTGCCCGGACACTGCATTTAAAAGTGATCATGTTTCGCAATCAACCTCTTTCAACACAATGCGCAGTCGATATTGTAGAATCAATGAAGAAAAATGCTAGCCTGCAGGAGGTCTACTTTTTATAGAAATTTCTATTTCAAGAATTGCAATTTGCTGTGAAAAGTAGTAGAGTTGTAAAAATTGAACTCATTATATCTAGTTGTTGAAATTATTAGGTTGGTGCAAAAATAATGGCCGATTTTCCAAGCCTTTTCTCAGAAAAACTTTTTTCCATCAACACTCCTTCTTTACAATAGATGTAATGTACCATCAAGAAGCTGTTTTCATGCTCTATCTAATGGTTTCAAAGCGGGTTTTCATTCTCATCTGTTATAAAGTTATTGGGCTTCAAATAACCGCATCTCAAGTTCAGAATTTCATTGCATTCACTTTTCTGGCCAAAAATCAAGCGCGTATCAGTGGCATTTCTTCGAAATTTTAGCTATTGTAAGTAATAGAAATTGTCTACTTTATGCACACTTAACTGTATTCTATGAAATTATCTAAACTGAGACATCGGCGCCTAAAGGGTAGCTGTTGCAGTCATTTTATGACCCATATTTTCCTTCTGAAGATGTCAATCGCCGAAGCTTTGCTCAATTCTGTAAGCGTAAGGCTAGGACATCCTATTGTCAATTTTCGCAAAAACATCCATCTGTTCAGTACGTAGAAAAATAGAAAACTTTATATTTGGGACTTTGAACTGAAAAAATGTTGAGAAAACTGAGAAATTTTTAAATTTAAATATTTTTCTTTCTCGCGAACTTTTTTGTCCAAATTGCTTTCGTTGTGTTCTGTACTACTGGCTTGCGGCTACAAGATAGGCCATTTATCATTCATACTAACAGACTTTGAAAGAAGTCATAATTGTCAGAAACAAAGTTTCCGAAAAAGAACTTTTTTGTTTTTCAATCCATATTTTTCTGCCCGTTCGTGATATGAGTATAAATAAAGGTGCGCTGTATTGCAGAAAATTCGCTGCTTTTGATGATCGTTACCGCATTTGAAAATATAAATCTTTCGAAAAGTTATGGCACGTCAAGAGAATTCGCAAAACGGCCATTATTTTTGCACCAACCTAATATTTTTGTTCCCTCATAATCTTAATTTAAAAACCAAGGCGGCCGACTCAAAATTTCTCTCCACCTTGGTCCCCCATTGCCGATTGGTAATTTGAAATATGTTTTTTCACATCGCTTACTGAGTGACATCGAGAGCTTTTCAGACACGTTTCTGACACGTATGTAGTGATGTTCTTAGTGATGTTCTCTATTTCGTACTGTAATGATGAACACACCATTTTGCATGACCTGTAAACGAGCACTTGAGGCTCTCTTCGAGCGAAACGATTTAACGCTGTCGCGCGCTGTGGACTTTCACATTCACGTCTGAATTTGTCAGTTAAAAACATGGAAGTAGAAATTGTTGAAGAAAATCGCAAAATGTGTTCTTGGCGAACCATTCGATAAACTTTGAAAAGACAGCCAACATAGTGTTCGCGGGTAAGAGCATATATATGAATTATATGCTTACAGAAAATTAAGGTTAAATGAGAGCTTCAGCATGCCGGTGTGTGCGGCGCCAATTTTCGCGTTACTGCCACGAGAGAACCACGATGGAATATGAGCTCAAATCATGTAATATATACTGGTAGGCTTTCAATAAGTTTTGCAACTGAGCCCGTAACTTCTCGCTTTTTGATCTTGTAGAATGTCGTGTGAGCTAATTGGCACAAACCGCTCGCTTTATAATGACAAAACAGAACAAATCCAAAGAACTTTCCAAAAACTGACAAGTTTCGAGGATTTATGGGATAAGTAAAAATAAAGCCGTTCTTAACCTAGGTTGCACCAGAATCCTTTGTAGGGGAGTCGTTGCTAAAGATTGGCATATTTAGCACAATAGGAAAAATGATGAAATTCGAAAAAAAGGAGACCTGGGGACCTCACAGAGTTGTAGGTCCGCTGTGCGCAAGGCTGCTTGGGGATGGGCACCTATGAATAAAAGGCCGGAATCTAGGAATGAAACTTGATTCGGGAAACTTCGCATGATGGGCTTATTTGACCTTAAATTGACGCCTCTTTGTTTAGGGTGAGACCTTACACGGTAAACCTACAATAATCTTACAAAAACCCCTACCATGCAGATTCAGTGCCGTTTTCGTGATCATCATGTCACATGACCTCCTATGCAAGTTTCAGCCAAGTTTGTTATGATCTATAATTTTTGCATTTATGCCGCATGCCTACCGTAACCCTTACTGCGATATAAGAAAACTGCAGAAATGAGCTGCGCTTGTAGCTTACGTTATAGCTTACATAATAGCAAAATCTGAGTGCGTCATATACAAAGAGAGAGAAGTATAAATATAGTTGCGAGACTTGGTTAAGAGCCTAATAAAATGCTCTGATCAAATTCTACAAGAAAAAGCAAGAAATTCGCAGGTAAGGAAACCAGGAAGAAATAGAATTAGATTAGTGGTTCTAAGAAAAGCAAAACGGGACTTTTTTACGTACAAATTTTACTGGCAGCTGAAGTTAAATACTTTCTTTCTGGACCATCCCGAAACGAAATTGATATTGTAGATTTCGCACGACAGTCTGACTTGGAATTTACAAGAAAGACGAAATCTTTGCGAAAAATACGTGCGTACAGCAACGACTTGTGAGGCTCCAGAAATTCATATAGAAGTGTATATATCATGACCGGTTTGTGGAAATGGTGCTGAAACTGATTTAGAAGACTGCTGTTTTTCACATGCCTTCGAAAAACTGGCTAGTGTTTACCGACTGCTGCTTGCAAGCATTTTTTTTTTCGGAAATTAGAAGCCCTCTTTGAGTTGACTTTTAAATTTGTGTATTCAAAGATTCGGCTTGCTCTACTCCAGTGCGTATTTCCAAAACAAGGGAAGAGCCTTTTCAAAAAGATATCGCACCAATTCGTAAGTTGTGCCTGCGTACAAAAGATTTTTCTAAATGATGAAGCAGCCAAATTCGGATTTTAGTAACGCACTACAATGGCAGTGGTTATTGAAAACAGATGCATGCCAAATCGTCAGCAAGCTATTCTGGCAGTCACAGATGCACGCGCCGTTGATCTTGGTGCACATACAGGGCTTATCGAGCGCAGTGTCGCTTGCATCAGCATCCCCACTCTCGCGCTAGACTCTGCGTCTCTTCCGCAAACATGCTCTCTGATCACTTTCCTATAACGAGCGTAAGAAAGGCGGAGCTTCAATCGTTTGAAAGTGATCTGAGAGCATTTTCGCGGAAGAGACGCAGAGTCTAACGCGGGAGTGGAGATGCATGCTAATGCAAGCGATACTGCGTTTGATAAGCCCTGTATATGTATGCTGTATCACCGGTATCCCCGTAGATCGTCGCTTGACACGAGCGGGATCCAGTAAGCCTCCATTCGTCCCTATCGAGGGCAATTGGTAACGGTTTTTCTTATCGCACCAAGAATAGAATGCTCTGAAGCACTTCATCAAAGGACTTCGTGGACATGTCCGACCATCGAGCCGGCGGTCTTCTTGTTCCGCATTCAATGTGCGATGTTCAATCTATTACAGTTCTGGCCTGCCGATTATCGTCAAAAAGTATCACGTGTCTGGCCTATCTGATATTATTCTGTTTGGCGTAAGCGGTAATCCTTGAATCTTCGAACTTTGACGTAGAGTGGAATTTCGTTTTCCTTTCCTCACGTAATTTGGGGCACTACTAACATCACTCTCTCATTAGCGCGTTCGATGACGCTAACCGTATGTTCGTTCTGCTTCCTCATGGTGCACGTTTCCAAAGCGTAAGTCAAAGTGGGAAGAACCGTTATGTTGGAAGGATGGGCGCGAAACCGGGTAGTCTTTGTTTTCTTCACTACATCCTCATCGCCCTGTATGCTCCCCATGTTGATCGTTTCCTCCTCTCGGTTTCTGGGCTAGATCGTTCGCTACGTTGACCTCCCGATCTGCGTAGACGTAGCTAGAGCACTTGGTGATAGTCATCCAGCGTAAAGGAAGCATCAGGAAATCATCCGTTTCTCATGTTGTTTTTGTACAAATTTTAGCCCTATACCGACCCTTCCACACATCATCAAACTGAGACAGCATTTGTTCCCCTTGCGGGATGTTGTATCATTATCATTAGCGAAGCAAAAGTGGTGTAATTGTCGGTCGTCGACTTTCATTCCCATGTAGCTCCATTCCAGCGTACGCATGACGTTTTCAAGAGCAGCGCTGGAAGGTTTGGGCAATATGGTATCGCCTTCTCATAATCCTCTCTTCACAACAATGGTGATGTCCTTGTAGAATGATGTGATGTTGGTTGTGAAGTCGTTGTACAGCTCGCGAATCATCTTGATGTACTGATTAGGAATACCTTGATTGCTTAGGCATCAGTGACAGCCACAATCCCAAACGAATCGAATTCTTTTTTAAGTCGATGAAGGTGAAACAGAGCGGCATCCTATACTTTTGTGATATTTCGATAAGCCTTGATACTGTGTGTATGTGGTCTATAAGCTAAATCCTTTCCGAAATCCAGCTTGTTCGTATAGTTGCCCTTCGTCTAATTCGCTCCCGATTTTGTTAAAAAGCACTCATGTAAAGAGTTTAGACTGTAGACAATAAGCAGAAAGGGCGATAATTAATGATATTACGCTGGTCTTCCTTTTCGTACAGCAACGGGTCTTGCTGGTCTTCACTTGACTTGGAATCGTGCCCTCTGTCAAATACCGCATAAAGACTTGCCAGATTTGATAAAAATTAGTTCTTCAGGTGCTCCAGTTTGGCCGGGCCCGGCTTTTTTGCGGCTTTTCGTTGACATGATTGCGGCTTTTCGTTGACATGATAAAATATCGAACCTCTGAAGGATGAACTTATAATGCAAATCTGTCCGTCTTGAGATGGCATGGTGGTGGGTGGACGTATCTCGCAAAGATACCCGAATAGAAATCGTGGATAACTTTCTTCATCGACCTTCGGGAAGAAGGGTTGGTTTAATGGATTAATTATCCGTGTTTGGGGTACCTTCTTTAGGCGGAAGGTACCTTTGTGCTGTGCGGTCCTTCACAAAGGATTGTGCAGCCCCCAATAATTTTGCATATTCTTGCGAAAAATCCACTGGACCGCAATTTATCCATAGAAAGACGCGATAGTGCCCCGAACGTTCGTCTAAAAACTGGCCAAAATTATCCCAAATTCGGCAAGCGGACAGCAAGAAATCGGAATTATTTTTCCGATGCCCGCTCGCCTACAATTCGCATGGCCGCCTGCCCCGGCGAATATCTAAGCAGGGCGGTGGACTGCGGTGACTTTATTCTTGTATTTGACGATGCTTCGGCGGGCTTTGCGTATACTCCTCCTGGCGTCCGCGACGTCAACCATTACCTACGCTCTTCTCTATTTGATTTCTCTGCATTTCTTCGCAAGTTTAGACGGCATTCAATAGCTGTGTCGAGTGCATAAGCATCTCCACTCCCGCGCTAGACTCTGAGCCTCTTCCGCGAACATGCTCTCAATATTTTCGATAAGTTGAGGCTCCGCCTCTCTCACGCTCAATCTGGGAAAATGCTCAGAGAGCGTGTTCGCGAAAGAGGTGCAGAGTCCAGGCGAAGCGATCGCGCGGGAGCGGAGATGCTGGTGTAGCCGACCCGACATTGTAGTTGATAAGCCCAGTAACTTGGTAATTGCCTTTCACATCAGGTGGCAGATCTTCTTCAGTTCTCATATCTGTCTGCGAACCTTTATACTACAGAGGCACTGTCCATCCAGACTCTCGAACTCCATTTTTTTTTTGTCTGGGGCTTTCTCATATCCCTGATTTCGAATATGAATTCAAGAATCCGCCACCAGACAATCCACAAGGGCCCCTAGACGGCACCGCCCACGGGTTTTCGAAAGGTGATTGAATGGGCGACAGGAAGGTCAGCCATTGCTGGAGGGGCGGTGCCGCCTAGAAGTCCTCGTGACTCTTTGTTGTTTCGGAGCAATAATTTCACTTCCAACGCGGTAATTTTCGTTGCAACTTCGGCGCTGGCTTGATAGGGGGCCCTGCTATCGTATTTTGCCGAAACTCAGGATCCCTAACTTAGGGTGGACAGTGCCCTTAAAATCAAAAGAGACGAATATATATGCCAAGCAGCAGTCAATGCAGGTTTTCGTCCTCTTTTCGATGGCCATCTCTTCGATTTCGTTTATCGAATAACTGTTGAATCTCCCTTCGCTCACCCGTATGTACTCTAGATCAAACTCATATATCATATTGCTGTCTCGGCTGGAGATCGAGAAAATAAGAAATTTTCACA